ACGCAGTATGCATTTGCGGAAAAGCTCTTGAGAACAACTCACGCTGGGTTTACTATCAAATGGACACTTAACCGAACACATTTGCTACCACCGTCATAGCATGGTACGATTCTAGCACTACAAACCCATCAACAGTGTTTCAACGTTATTCGCGGAAGGAAGCAGACGAATTACTACTACACACTCCCAACTACAGGAAAAATCGATGTCATCTTCGACATATTCAATGCCACTGTGGTGTAGTATAATATTACATTTTTTGTGACAATCTTTACCACTATTGTCAACATAATCCTGTGAGTGAGGTGGTAATTTATTTAAACAGATTAAGAAGTAATGATACATACTATGTCTTTAATATTTTCTTGACAGCAAGGAACATGAGATTGATGTTGATTTTCATGAGGTTGATGTCAGGAGATTGCGGAGGGAAGAAACTTACTTCAAATGAGTGTTAAACACGTACACGATACAGGGGAAATCGCTCTTGATGTTGCGTTAAAATAAGCAAAATTTTCTTGTGTTATACTGGATTTACATTACTACAATACATCTTCTTTTGACTAAATAGTATCATTTACAATCTTGAAATGGTCGAAAATCGTTTTACAAATATATTAGTCACAGAAACATAAAACATATAATACTTTTTAAATTATGTAATACAATTCGCTTTCATCGCATATGATGGGTAATGATTTTCCCTGCTAATGCGTATAATACTAGCATTATTCGGAAGATACATATTATTCCGCTTTGTGACTCGAACGAATTAAACAGCAAGGAAGAAGAAAGGGAAAGAGAAAGAATGAATTAAAAGAAAATAAGGATAGGTAATGGTGATTCTACGATATCAATCTACTACAACGGTACCTGCGCACAATTCTCACTGCACCTTATTCTGACCGCAGAATAGAAGCACATTACACGTAAAGTGATCTCAAGGTTTTATTGAATTCAAAATATCTTTTCTAAGAAAACGGTTAAATTCTGACCGATACTTCCTTTGGAATTTTTTCTTTTTTTGATAACGAGTAGTATGCGGTACAATTAAAAAAAATGGTGAACCTGCCGATGCATCCGCCCTCACCGATCTTGATGATTTTTAACCCTTCGCACTCGGAAGTTTCTCATTAGAAATATTTAAAATTTTTTAACGAAACAAAGACGATATTCTTTGAAACTAACTCGAAGGGAAATCACAAGTATATTGAGGAGCAAAGCTATTTTATTCCAATATTTCACGTATCGAAGCATTATACAAAGTTCAGCATTAAATATTAGCCCTTTGCACTCGGCAGTTTTTCACTAGAAATATTTGAACATTTTCTGATGAGATAAAGACGATATTTTGTGAAATTAACTCGAAGAGAAATTACACGTACATCGAGGAACAAAGCTATTTTATTTCAATATTTCCCAAATTATAGTTATAGTTTTACTGTAGGAAATCAAGTGGTGACTAAGAGTCACCTCCCGAGTGCAAAGTTAAATACGTTGTGGGGGCATGCTTTCGAACAACTTTTTCTTTTATATGTTGCTTACGGTAGGCTTTAATTTCCGAGATAATCCTGACAAATTTTTGCTAATACAACAAAGACTTTTCATAATTAAACAAATTTCCTTATTTAATCATTTAATTGCACCTCTAAAAGGTTATTTACACTCAGTTTTGTATACATGAGCACTTCCGCAAGAGAGCTGCAAGTATAACGCAAAATATCCTCACCCTCGCAAAATTCTTAACTTTCCCTGGGAACGTCGACAGGTAAAGCATCCTTAATCTTAACCATTTTCACTCGGGAGGTGAATCTCAGTTATAACTTGATTTGATATAATGGAATTATAAGCTTTGTATGGATATGTGAAATATTGGAATAAAACAGCTTTGTTTCTTGATATTTGTAAGTTTCCTTATTGGTTGGTTTCAAGGAACGTCGCCTATATCTTATCGGAAAATGTTTAATATTTCTATTGAAAAATTTTCGATTGCAAAGGATTAAATTCCGCGCCTCGTCGTAATTTTAACATCTATAGGCTATTTTTTCTAATATAAAATTAAATCTGTTTTATGAGACAGAGAATATAGGAGATTTTTGGCAATTATACAGTAAATACCCCTCCCCCCAAAACTAGCCCCACTCACACCGATATCTGTTACTCCATTGAAATTCATTTCTATGAAACGTTTGAAATTACCGTGATCGAGTGAAACTGTTGGAATTTTAGCATAAAAGAGGTCCACGTGTAATCCGAGAAGCTCGAGGGACCGAAGCAGCGAACATATTGCCATGCTTGGCACCCTCACCGACGTGCTCATGTATACAGAATTCAGTGTAGTGATAACAAAAAGTTTTTCGCGATTATCTCGGAAACTAAAGCCGTCCATAAGCAACATATAAAGGCAAAAGTTGTTCTAAATCATACTCCCAACAACGTATTTAAAAATCATCAAGATCGATAAATTCGGATTTATCGGCAAGCTGACCAAAAAGATTATTTGGAAATTCGAGGTCAAGCTCAATTTTGCTGCAACTTATTTGGACAAATCTCGAATGATCTAAAGGTACAGAATCGCCTGTAGAAGGCATGACACATAACTATGTTATACCGTAAATAGTTGCATGCTATTTTCGAGTTTTACTGCACCTAGAACAAACGCGTCCAAACACCATCTCGAATAAATAACATACCAAACCGCGTTTGAATCGTGAAGTTGCGAAACCGGGCGTCCGCACTGCTAGATCTGTGCCGGTCATCTACCTGTACGGAGTACGACGTCATGCCGCCAAATATGATCATGTTCTTTCGTAATACTATATAAATGTGATTCTTGCGCAACTCTGTACAATTTACGCGTGTTTATAAATATTGTAGAGATTCAGGAATGCAAGGTGTGCGTGTATTCGTTAACAAATAAGCAATCATTCGCGAAGCTTGGCGTATCGACTGAGAAACGTTTCTCCTCGTGACCATCCCATTCTGATTAAAGACGCCGTTAATAAGTAATAAAGATAAACTACTCATGACAGACATGTTACAATTCAACAAATAACATTTCGGCGATTTAATGAAACCACTTTATTTTAATTTCCGAACATACTTTTTTTTCCACAAGTGTGAAAAGAACATCTTCTTACTTCGTTCTCTCGTTACTTTAGCGATAACGATAGTAAATTCCGGTTCATTTAAATAATTTATTCCACGTTCTTAGCCGCTGCTTTTTCGTTCGATTGACGACATTATACATACTAACAGAATGAGTCACACGGGTATTGAAAATACCTATGTCACTTACATGCGGATGTTGCGTCAAACCGAAAGCATCGGGCGCGAACGTAGAGCGTAGGTATTTACATATGTAGAAAATCTCACTTCCGGTCTATCGTTTCGAATGATTTGAATGTCTCATTACTTCACGTTTCAACGCGCTAGAACTCGCGCACACAAACGATCGAATACGTTCGAATTCGTTGTTCGAATCTATCACTAGTTCACTTAATTAAACGATGATTATTTGAACATATTTCTATATTATAAATAATACTATCTACGGCGGTGACGTTCAGCTAGATGGACTTGCAGTTATAGTAATGCAATTCAATCGAATGATTTAATATTTGACTTTTTCCATTTTGTGGATACTTGCTCTATGAATTCGTGCAACATCCAACGCGTTAATTGTCTTTGCTTTGGTCGAGCTGTTTCCTGTCATTTCTCGCATGTCTCATGACACAGACGGAAAGAAACGCGTGACTGAACAACCATTTTGCGCAAAGGTATAGCAATTTCTTGTTTTTGCCGGAAATTTTTTCTTGAAAATTCCTGGTTAATCGTCAATGACGGATTTGATGTTAAAATGGTAATAGCGTTTAATATCTGAGGAAATTGAATCACGAAAATATGTTGGGCAATATGTTTCTTATTCTACCTTGACGACGTCGCTACGATTGTGCCTGCTTCTTTTGTAATATATGAAAGTTACTGTCAATCTAAATTATGTTTACCACAAGAATATAGTAAATAATCATTCTTGTTTAGAATAATTGTGTGTAGTTTTTAACTCGTTTTATGGTGTATTTCGGTGTTTCTACTGCTTCACTATGAAATTTACCGAGATTCTAATGGAACATACTACGCTGGCCCTAATCACTTGATAGGCTTCCTCGGACAACGGCATTTTACAGCGAAAATAGGTCGTTACTTGTCGCTACCTTTTCCTGTAAGTCTATAAGCTTTGGAATTTGTAATTAGCTGAGATAATTGCAGAAACTTTGCAACAGCTGAAAATGACTTTGAATTAGAGAAAGGAAGGCATAAAAGTAACGATTTTTTCTTGAGAATTACATAGAGGAAAGTTTCTTTGTTTCACGAAACAATATCAGTGAAAAAACGACTTTGAAAAAACAATATATATACAGGGTATTCGAAAAACGTTACATCAGGTAACATCAATGTCAGCGGTACATTAATTTTGGATGCTCGTATCTTATATTTATGCGAAAATAAATTTGCAACGTTGTGGAAACGCCTGAACATCAAAATACAGAAATATGTAATAGAAAATACAAAGTTCCAATGAACAGTGTTAAATGACGCAAGTGCGCAGGAAGCTCGTCTGCCTATTATATTTTTGAATTTATTAAATGAAAAAGCCTTTTGTACTATTAGTGATCTACTTCCTTTTAACCTATTATAACTTGATAAATCTCTCGCTCTACGTACAATAAAATAAAAAAATGAAGTCTATACTGGTAAAACGTAGGACGGCTGTACCTAGGGTATATTTTAATAAAAAAACAAAGCGAAGCAAAGAAGAATTACGTGTTTATCTGAAAAAGTCAAGAATTCATCGTTAAGATGATGTATATACTCGTCAAATGCAGTTAACTGGTTAATTTACATCTCGAACGGAACAAAATTCATAATCTCTTTTGCTTATTAAAAATCAATATATCGCTATACGCGAAGTAACGAAGTACTATTTCTTCTGATTACAGGTTCGAAGGTCATTGAAAATACCTGGTCGCCGGAAGGAAAAGGAAAAGTTACCGAGTGGTATCACTGCAGACTATAGTGCTTCGTTTTTCGCTTATTTAGATCGGGATATCTTAGAAAATTCACAGAACTCGTCGAATTCGGGACAAGGCACGCGTACGAATAATAATTCGACGAATAGGGCGGCGGATGGTTTGATACAGAGTGATTCGTCGGAAACTTCGCTGACTTCTTTGACCATCACTACGACATCGTCAGTGACGTTGACGAATGCTACCAGTCATTTGGGAAAGAATTTACCACCGTTACCACCGAAACCTCCTAAGCGGGGAATTCTGAAGGGGCCACGTCTAGGCATCCCTGGCACGCAGAACGCCCACGCCGAGGAGAACCCGTTGTCAAATGGCGACGAGACAAGTTATCAAGAGCCTAACAATTTATTAGCAAGAAATACCCTTCAAAACGAAGTCATCGCCTATCAAAACGTACCGACGCATTTACACGGGTTGGGATCCGCTTTAAATAAAGACGAGATTTGCAGTGAAGAAGAGACGCTGACTTGTCAGAGTTCGTGGCAGATTTCACCTCAACGATCCGTTCAACATAATCAGCAGCAGGTGCATCAGCAACAAGTGCAACAGCAGCAGCAGCAGCAGCAACAGCAACAACAATATCACCACCATTATCATCATTCTCATCATCACCAGAGCGATACGAAATTGTTACAGGTTAGTCTATTCTTCATTTATCAATCAATTGTTTATATTCGATGATTGAAGCTTGAAGCTGAGGTTTTCTTTTATAATTTTATGTATTACAAGTTTATTCATTTATTAGAGTCATGTTAGTTTTGTAATCTTTTTTAGTTCCTTCCATGATCATGAAGTTGTAATTCCCACGAGACGATGTAGGATTTCCTCATTCATTTTATGGTCTGTCTTATTAATCGAACGTACATATGTACAATGATAGTCGGTTACTTAAAATCACTGTACAACATGAGGAACATTTACGATAGATGTCTTCTGAAGATTACCTTTTATACACTAAACTTGAAAGTAACGCGTACCGGGTATTGTATAACAATATTTACTGTCAGGAGAATTTTGAGTATGTTATATGACATTACTTATTTTTTCATTGCAAAGGTAAATTGTATTAGAAATCGTTATTAATGATTCAGTGTCACAGTTCCTACGTTACAGTATTATTTAGTTACACCCTTACGTTACTATATAAATATTTTTGAAGCAGTAATTGATCAATGAATGTGTTAATCAAGGAGATTTACTATGAAATTAGCTTCATACTTATTCTAGTACTAAACCCACGACGTACCTGACCTTTTGAATATAGGCTGATAATTTCTCCGATGAAGAGTAATTTGCACTGAAAGATCATGAATCTTTGCGATTACCTTACACTTTGATTATGCAAGCCAAGTATGGCAATGGCGTAACACATTCGTATAATATGAACTTATTATCGTGGCAGATTGAGTTCGATTCTCATAGGACTCATTCTCTGTTTAGTTTCTTTTTTCTTCCTTTTTAACATGTTAAGCGCCACGAAAATCTTAAATGTTTCCCCGTAGAGTTTTTCTTTTATAGCAAAGAAAAGCAGGAACAATTATTAATAATTTGGCATTACAATGTTTGCATTACACTATTATCAACTTAGTTACGTTATTAAACATTTTCATTTCACATCGATTGTCTTATATGTTACGATTGTTTTCTAGTCATTCAGAAGCGTCAATCATCAGTGACTGACTTCTATTAATCCTTAGCACTCGTATGTCATACTGGAGATGACAACACGAATTTGTTATAAAACGTTGGAAATTGTTTGAAAAAGTCTCACACTTAAAAGATTATAAAAATTAAATCTTATAATAATAATACATGAAATAAATATAAAACGTTGAATTCTACCGTTGTAAATTACTTTCATTTATTTCTCTAAAAATAAATACAAGTTTGCAACCAGCAACATTGAAAATAAATCGAGTGCAAAGGGTTAAGTATGGCAAAACAGATTTCTAAAAAATTTCGAAGCGATTGAAAACTACATATTGAAAACTACGTTACAAAATTATAGATAAATCAGAGTTAGAAAAATGTTAGTTAAAATTTTTGCACTTATTTATTGCAGCGATCAATTGTCAACTTCAATTTACAACGAAACGCTTAGATATAGAAATAAATTATCGTTGGCAAAGTGTGTTTTTGTTATGCAGCAGTATCGTCTTCTTTTGAAATCAATTTTAATACGTTTAGTAGGGGACGGTTTCTTTCAAAAATTATCATTTTTCATTAAACATAAATTCACAAACTATTTCATTAAATAATAAATGAAATACATTTCCGCAATAATAATTTTCATTATTTTTACAAAACAACAATATTCGTTGTTATTGGATACATTGATCTTGCTAAGCTATTGTCCCAACATTACTTATCAAGTAATCCGAAAATCTGTTCCTTATACAATTTATACTTAAACCTACTTGTCTTGATGGTGACAAATGTTCGTTTTCAGAAGATCCATTTACTGTCAGTGTATCTTCAAAATTCTTACCATCCCTCATCTGAACAAAATTATGTAATATGCAACAGCATTTTGTAATCTCTGTTGGAGTTGATGCGTAAAAGTGTAATCGACAGGATGCGTATTTTAGAACAACGATATATTTGGAATACAGAGAATCTCGAGTACATACTTCCGTGTTACACGCGGGACGGCAGCGAGCTAAACGGTAAAACAGAAGGGACTCAAAAGGGCAAGAAGAGTCCACATTTTCGGTGCGGTACATTCTTGTATTAACGTTAGGTGTTACTACACAATATAGGCGCGAAATACAAAATCTTTCCTCAACAATCTCTATAGCAACTGGTAATTTCACGTTTAATGCTTTGTGGGATTTTCTCTATTTATTAGATAAAATTCCAACTGTAAGTACATTCGATAGAACGTGCTCGAGTCAGTCTGTAGTTAAAAATACGTTTCTTGTACCGCAATGTGTTTCCACCATACGGTCTTATTAATTGCGATGAAAGGGGAACGGCCTCGTCGTCTACACACACAAACGGCATTCTTGGGGAATTTGTTACCGGCGAGGGTTTGTTTTTTTTTAGAATTTTTAAATGATTATTTGTCATTTCTTTATAAAAGTTACTATTCCCAAAAACATAACTATCAAACCCTTTTCGCTATGCTTCTATGCCTACATACGTAAATGTATCATTTGAGTCAACTACTGTTAACAAAATAATGGACAAATATTTCTTGTAATTATAATATAATGAATCAGTGTTTTCGGATTTAACACTAGAACTACAGAGCACTTGAATTGATTTTTAAACATTTTTGTATAAGAACTGTAGAAGTCCGTTGATTAAGATATCAATTGAGTTATATTTTAATCTGTATACTAATAAATCATCTATTTTAATTATTCCGCGAAGGAGTATTTGCATGCTTTCAATAATTGTGACAGAAGAAATGAGGAATAGGTAATTTGACCCATCTGATAGTTCTAGTGTTAACTATCCTGACATGCTTACCGTCTATAGTACCAAGGTAGTTTGGAAAATCGGACTTTTTTCGAAACTGTTCGATATTTCTAATCACTTTTCTTCGGTCAATATAATATCTAATATAATATCAGTTTTGAAGAATCGAAACCAATATACTGAATAACAGTTGTGACTTATTTCGGTTCTTCATAACTGTTTCAAGAATCGAAACCGATGTCATAATTGTTTTCAGACCCCGCTCTAAACATATCTTCAGAAAGATGTGCAATTTTCAATACTAAACTACAAGATTATTGTTTCCTAAATGTTCAGGTTAAAAATAATTATACGACTAATTGAACGTACAACAAATTTTTATCAAGTTTGATTCTCTACTATTCCAGCACGACAAAGCAGTAAAACTATATCGAAGTAAATAGCTATATTTACTACTTAGGAAATAAGTTTTTCCCGTTATTGAACAACCGTGCGATGCCCTGACTCCCAACCCAATAGAAATTGCTGTGTCGTAAAGCTGTCGAAGCAACTGGGCAGTGAACGGACCCGATGCGCGCCCTCCTCGGTTCAATATCGTTGTGGGTCACCCCGATGAACATTTTTCACCCTCCCAAAGAGCTATACGCTCGATAAAAGTCAACTTCCACTGTAACTGTCCACAGTTTCAATTTCCTTTTTTTTTATCAACCATGTTAACCCTCACGTTGGCAACTAAAATGTCAGCATTTATCCAAATTTTGATACAATATGACATTATTTCTGAGTAAATTCTTTATTTTCAAAGCAAAATTCGATGTAAAAATATTTTAAAAAGGAGCTTCAAAGTAAATTTGTCATGAGAATAGAACAAAATTACTTAGGAGAAAGTTTCAAAATGGGTATAAACCTGGTTACCGACATAGTTGAGGCAGGGTAGATAATGGAACAAAATGCATTATCATAGCCATTTACGTGATGTGAAATCTACGTGAAATGCATTATTTGTATAGCGTATACGTTCACGTACACATCATTATTAGGTACGTTGACAAACGCAATAAATGAGGTTGAATAAAATGATAATAATATGTGTAAAATATGTTTACACTTCCTGTGTACTTCCTTTGTACCTGTGTTTCGTTTCGCACAGTCTCTATGAATTAAGATCACATTAACTCTTAGAGTGCCAACGTCGTTATGAGCGATACGAGCTGTGAGAATAATCTTTTTGCAAAATATTGTTTATTTCATTTCTGCAAATAAAATATCAAAAATGAAAATGTTTACTATACTTTGTAAACCGTCTATCACATTTATATAAATAGTAAAATTTTTATAGATATTTCTCGTAAGTTAAGCATTTTTCGGTAAAATTGCATGGCAATTTTCGAAAGAATTTTAGCAAATAGCAATGGCACTCAAAGGGTTAAGATTAAATCGTGATTAAAAAGTAATAAGTAAAGTTTGATTCTCTTATGTTGAACTTAGGTGGTAACCAGTGCTAGTCCGTCGGCGGATTCTTTAACAGATACGACGAATTCAAGTTTTGCCACACCACCTTTCAGTCTGTCGCCGGTCGGAGAGTCCCAAGGATTCTCAAGGTGGCGGTCGACGGCATCCTTTGAGGAACAAGGCGTTGAATTACAACTTCCTGAAATTATTTCATTGGAACTGCCTGAACCTCGGGAGTTAACGATTCACCGGCAACCGCCACCGCGGAACGATTTCGGATTTTCATTACGGCGCGCCGTTGTCGTGGAACGAGCCGCGGGAGGAGCTAGCACCCAAATGAGATCGGTGATTTTTGCTGAACCCGGGTCGCTGGTGCAACACAACAATGAAACTGGCTTGTTACCCGGTGATAGATTAATCGAGGTCAATGGAATCAACGTTGATGATAAGTCACGCGAAGAAATTATCGATCTCATCAAGCGGTCTGCCAACTGCGTTACCGTAAAGGTAAGTTTACGTTTCAACCAATATTATTCTTTACTTACAACGCTTGCTTTCATCTCTGTGCAATTAAAGGTTCCTTATTGAATATTCGTCTATTGATAATAAATAGTATACGTATTCCTTTAGTATAAATTAAAAGTAGGTACAATGTAGCTTCAAAAATTTACTGTGTTCGAGTCAAACATGACGGTGACAAGAAATAAGATTATAATAATTCTTACTTACTATAACCTCGTTTTTGTTAATTTTACGCGTTTTCATTGGCATTCAGTATAGTGTGTACTTATCTCGAAAACTAACCGATAGATCAATTTAGAACTTTTACAAATATATATCACTCGAATGTAAACAATTTAAAGAATTTTTTATTTTTATTCTCCGTACAGTTGTTGCATATTCTACAATGCACCTCAATAACAATTAGATGATAGAAAACAAATTAAAATAGAACATTTCTGTAGTTTATTTGCTTTAGACTCCAAAAAATCATCTTCGATCAACGGTTACCTCGGTTCATCGGAGATTTGTATATATTCGTGTAAAAAGTAAATAGCGAATATTGTTGTCGGTTGCATGTTTGCAGCAGTTTTGAATTGCTTTCTTTCATTTGAATTTCTTGTTTAGGAAGAAATGTTTAAGTCTAAAGACCATTTACTTATTTTTTCGGGATTCTTAATTTAACTGATTGTTTTACCTCTGAGATCTCGAGCATCTAATGATAACATGTCTTAGCATTGGAATAAGTTTTGTTTTATCGTGAAAAATAAATTTCTTTTATGGAATTTGAAAGGTTTTAGTGTTTTGTTATAAAAATCTTTTAACATTTTTATCAAGTGCACCCTAAAAATCGTTGATTCTTAAAAGATTAAAGATATGTTCTCATTTCCTTAGAAAAATCATTTCAATATTACCTATTTCTAAAGTGGCCCCACTAAGATCTATCCATTGAATTTTAGGAAAAATTCGGTTAACATTGACATTTACATAAACATAAACAAAATTGATTGTACATAATTCTTACAGTGATAATTACAAACTTTCATGGTAGACGCACATAAAAATTTCGTTAATTTTACCAAACCCATGTCTTTTCGAATACATTTACATTTCGCGTTGATTCTTTGTTCATTCATTTGTTGTTTGATAAGAGGTAAAGCAACGTCTTGTTTCAAGTTTTATGGACCTGATAACCTTGAACTGAAGACAAAATGGTGGAAAAAGACGATATTTTCATCTGCTTTCGATATATTGTACGATTGTGAAATAGCCTGTGCATCTTTATGCCAAAAAAGTCTTCTTCGCATGTTTGTTGTTTCTGTAAATGCGCGAGTACTGATCCGATCGATCCGAATAGTTAATCGCGGAGCAACGTATTCGGCGTTTGCTCATAGTGAGCAATGTCAGTTTATCCGTTGCATCGCATCGGTGCATCGAATATAGCGGGTTCATGAGTCACGATTCGTAGTGAAACTATACTCGTACCAAGAGTCCCGTGTCAAAATAATTTCCTAACAAGTTGTTTGACCGATTTTCCATTCCATGCGAGCATTGCATGCGGTTCCCAACCCGTAAATTCTAATTTTAGTGAGACTCTGTACGATTGCGAAGAATGTTGGACTATACAAGAGACAATTATTCGGGGGCGAAGATTCACTCTGAGGAAGTGAAATCAGCCGTTAACTCGTAAGAAATGAAAATTATTAAAAATGTTTAAAAATCATAGAGATAAAATAATATTTGCGATATAAACTAAACTATCGATTTGAAAGTGCTGATTATCGAAGAGAATTTCGTTCTCAGAAGCGATGCAAACTATTCACTTTCATTTTCCTTCAAACAGGAACGTAAGGATTATTTGTTGACACTTCGAACAAACCTCTTTTGGTTTCATATTGACAGGTGCAGCCGGTTGCAGAACTGTCGGAATTATCAAGACGCGGAGATAGCGACGGACAACAGGTCGAGCTTGCTGCTGCGAACATTCGTAGCGGTACGCTTCGAAGGTCCGGTAGTTTGAGATTTCAAGATAGTATGGTAAGTATTTTTTATCTACCATTGTTACCAGAACCTCCTATACTTCGATTACCACATACATGTATGCTTATCGACGCGAAACGTTTCTGTTTGCTCTCTTTCACCTTATACCAGAAAAATTCAAAAATTTCATATTTTCATGATTCATAATAGGATAACGTAACTTAATATGGAATACCTGGTTTTAGAAGCTTGTCAAAACGAGAGATATGCATTGTTTCAATGAACCCTGTACTAGAACACGGTGAAATTAATCAACATTTATACACTGGTCGCTAACGATGTAAAAATTTAAATGCTTCGAAACCATGACAGAAAATGTAAATAAAGGCGAATACAGCGCATTGGAAATATGATTCTTAATATGGAATACTTACGAAATTTATAAAGAAAACTCACTTTTGCTATGAAAAATCAAATATTTATTGAATTAAAAAGGGTAAATAAACAAATCTTCCACTTGTTTGAACTTGTATTATGTTAATTTTTTCTTCTTCTATACGTTGGATACACGAATATCGGAACCAGCACATTCTTCATGAACACGATGCATCGGACACATTTTCTCCATTGTCATCACTTTCATAATTGCCACCGTAAAATAAAAATACAATATAACGTTATGTAACATTAATAAAGAATATGCACCAAATATAAAAAGAAAATAATAACAATTTTAAGAGAAAAATTGAAGCGAGTAATGGAAAACAAACATGTTTAATGGTAAGTCATGAAACTTAATATGTCTTAGTTCAGTTTATCTGTACTAAGAAATTTAACTATTTAACTTATCTGTCAAAAAGTTTTACGCACTACCAAACACAGTAACGCTTTACATTTAACGAGAAGTTTTCAATTAATGTCCGACTTATAGACATGATTGTTTTCCATTCCTAATGATGTGTTTCCCATGGTACTTAACTGATACATTAAGCTATTTATTTTCCGAAATATAACGGTGTTCCATATTCGGTGCCGTTATCCTACTGTGTTCAGTGCAAGGTCGATATGCACACGTATGTAAGGATAGTCACGTATCGAGTAGAAGATACGTACATATTCTTGAATGACGATGCATATGCATTTATGTATATCGAGCAACCTACGAGTGTGCGTTTGTGCGTCGACCACTTTACATCTTCATAGATAGTGAATGTTTAACCATTTTCAACTGTACAACTAAGTGAACGAAAATTGAACAGATCTTCATCGTTGGGATTGAATGCTCATGCACTCGCTGTGCTAATGTAAAATACGTTCGTTGTTTAGGTATATTAATATAATTAATATAAATATAAATATTAATAGAAATTATAATTAATATAATTTGTATCATTTAAGTATAATAAAATGTAACAGTTACTAGAATTTTATTTGGAAATCGTTTGCAGTGGACCGCATTAGATTATCAACATTCTATTCGGGGACAAGGTATTTCCCATCTTGATTAGACACTAAAAAATATAGGTGAATGTTACCCACGCTTTGCCACTTTTAATTAATAACGTAAACTGTTTCTCTAGTATGAATTGTAAATTATAATATTTATAATGAACATATGTGAAACCATAGGGCATCTTAACACATATTAACAATAGCTTAAAATTACATTTGAGAAGCGTGTGTAGTCATAGGCAACTGAAAATACACAAAATATTCTACAAGGTATATACCACTACGTTGACTGTTAATGTACGCATAAGAAGAATTTTAATTAATCCAGTGACAAGAATTACTCGATTTTGAATGTAACTATAATTGATCTATTGGGTTGACTAATAAGTTCGTTTGCGAATTGGGTTGCTATGTATAAATATATCAAATCACAGACTGTCTATAGTATATTCAATGAGTCGAAACTCCAGATATTTAAAAAATGTACAAAGTGGCTGTCAGACGGTATAAATGTGTACAAAAAACGCAATAATTGCAAAATGTATTTATACAAATAGTAGAAATGTTAATATAAACTAACAAAATAGAACAGATACGAATACAACACAAAACAAACACAGCAAAGAACAATATTAGGATAGAAGAAGTGTAAAATAATTGTGAATCGGACAAGAATAAGCAGTAAATAATAATGTAAACTGTAATATTTGACATTTTGACGTTTTACAGGTTATTGTGAATTGATGCAAATACTCGTATACATCCGTGAAATTCACAATTAAAGAATATTGGACGTCAGTGACAGATAATAGTGTTTAGCGATTGCTGTCCCTCTTATATTCGTTAACACGTGAATATTTTTGTTATATCTCTGAGTGACGCGACTCACTGAATATTCCACTACTTATACAAGGTTTCCTCACTTCGTATCAGTTTGTTTTCAATTATTCCGCATGAACTCACATGTGAAAGAAAGGGAACATCGGTCTATCTGTTTAGTAGGTACACAAAGGAATAATCTGTTACGAACTGCTACCATGTAACCAGATTATTAATTCCGAAAAGCATTATGCACGATTAAATGAATAAAAAGCAGCAGTAAAAGAGAATTACCAACGCCACTGGCGTCTAAAAGAGGCGTCGTCTTCCACTACGATAACGCTTGGCCGCATACATCTCTGAGATGTTTTGCCACATCCATCATATTCACTTGATTTGTCTTTATTCAACTTTCATTTATACCAATCACTGCACAATTCCTTCAACAAAAGTTATTGGAGGGAATAAACACGCATATACTCGAATTTTTTAACAAAACACTCAACAATTTTATACAGAAGGAATATTTAAGGGGGGAATTTCCGGTTACAGAAATAAAATCGACTAATTTTTCAAAAGCCTCCTTTTGAGGAAAACGATTAACTACGAATGTTTATTGGTTTACAAGTACAAAGAAACATTTACAAATTAAAAAAAAACATTATTTATTTATCACTTTATCACTATTAAAACAATTGTTGTCATCCTTTTTGTTAGTGCAACAATTATTAATGTACAGTGCAGTACTTCTAATAATCATCAGAATCTAAAAATTAAACAAATTTCCTAAAGTTAGATAATTTTTCCGGGACCTATCAATTTCTAACGTGACATTAAGTCTGTTAAGAAACTTTTTTCTTTCTTAGATTTTGATAATCATTATAAGTTACACTTTATAAGTTACACTGCCCATCAATTGCAGTATGAAAGAGGTCTTTATAATTTTTAAATGTACCTTTGTGCTTGTAAAATAATAAACATTCATACTAAAAGCAAAGTAACGAAAAAACATATTGAAAAACTAGTCGTTTTTATCGTTAGAACAGTAAATTCGTTCCTCGAATTACCAAGCAGGTGAGAAAAGGTGACATAGTAAAGTGGCACATACGTAATCGATTACGTACCTTCTATGTAAAAATAATAGTAACTTATATCCTTCGGAAGAAACGCGAACAGTGTTATTACTCAACCTAATACTTCAAATTACATCGTATGTCGGCATAAGCGTCGAAGGTTTTTTTACATTGTCATCACGATCCTCCCCGTTATGTGACCTTCCGGATTCATTATGTATGCACAATGCACGTAGCGAGACACTGTTATATCGAGAATGTTACAGTAGTGTAAAAGGTTAATAGCATCGGACACGTTTAACTGTTCCGTAGAAAGTGATAAGTTATATTGATTCGTTTGTTCGATAAAAGGCCCGATCGGAAGAACACTTGGCACAAGAACAAGAATGGCTGAATTACGAAAAGGTGTGGTTATTGCATCGAGGTGGTTTTACTCTCGCGACCAAATATGGCTCAGCGGATCCGGATACGGGAAAGCTGAGGATTCGTCTAGCCACTTCCGGCGAAGAACTTCTCATAGACGAGGAGGATGTGGAGAAGGTATTAATATACATTGCTAGACGCTGCTATAGTAATATCCTATTACAAAACCATTAATATATGATAATGAAAAGTTCAGTTCTTGGATTATATTGAAATAACTCATTGCTCATTATGTAATTTTCGTTGAAATGACCGTAAGTCGCAAATGTCAAATACGAATTCAAGATGACTCGCGATCTTCGATATACGTGCATAATCGAATATTTTGACGAATTTATATAAAAAATTGAACGAATCTATATAAGTTTGTACGTTAAATGAGATGAATCATTTATTCTGTTACAGGCCAATCCTCCGCAATTTGACAGGGCAGAAGAGCTTTCCCGATTGCGGTTTCTTAACGAATCCTCTGTTCTCCACACACTGAGACAACGTTACGCTAGTAATTTAATACATACTTATGCAGGCGACAGTATGATCATCATTAATCCGGTGGCGCCATTAGCAATCTACTCAGAGAAGGTAAATGGTTTTACATTTTCAAATGAAAATTTTTCTTTGTTCTCATTACATCTTACGTAATGTTATCTTAGAATAATTTCAACTATGACATGTTGTTTCATTTATTTGCTAATAAAATATCATCAGTTTGAAATAGTTTAATTAAATATTACTTTCATATATACTAAGGACAATTTCTTGTATCTGGAAATATTGGTTCTACTAGATAAACAGCTAAACTCTACATATAGTTAGTAACTATTGGAACATGTAGTATTCATGACATGGAGTGTTTGAACAGGTCAAGTTCGAGTCAAGTTTTTATTCTGCTGTTTTGTCAAAGTTTATTTCAAGCGTCTGTGTGCGAATTATACATTATTACAGCAGAGACAGATTGTTGAATGTCTAAACTGAAATAGAAAAAGAAAAAAGTAATTGTTATTTATTCATTCTTGATCAGTACAACGTACGCGTAGAAGATTATATTCCTTCTTTGAATGTATTTCGTAAATGAATCTTCGACGTTTATTACATTTCGTTCTATATTTATTATTATTACCAATGCAAATATAACGTTTCGAACATTTCGACTACGCGTAAACCAACGGCGGGTCAGTAATGACGCAATGCGTCGAGTGAGAACGGAACTTAGTGAACTTGGGAATTCAAAAAATTATTAACTTTGTGTGTAAGTAGAGGAAGTTAAGCCTAATACATTGTAATTTTTTCGTGTTGAATATCACTTTGAAGAGGTGAAACCACCCCTTGAGAAAAATATAAATTTTTCTTTCCCGTGGATTATCTTGAAAACGGTAAGACAGCGAAAAAGAATTTAAACAAAAAATACAATATTCTTGCATGTCTATAAGATTACAAAATAAAATTTTATAGATGTGGAAGAATAATATATGAGATAGGATATATTCTATAAAATATGTATACGTCTAATCTCTTCCATTTTTTTTATAACAAAAATCAGGACGATATCGATGTCAGTGTCGCTACATAATCTTTTTCAAATGGAACTATGTGTCATTGTGAGTCGATGTACATTACGTCTAATGAATTCATGAAGTTTCATCTGGTAAAGGATTAGAAACCTTGAAACTTCCTTCGTATCTTCATATATGCATAAGATATAAACTAAACTAAATTAAACTAAATGGTTAGATTCTAAAACGACATTAACTTTTGGCATGTTTTCATTACTTTCCAAGAGATTTAATTGTCACATTTTATGAAGCTTCACCGTATATATTTGCATTTGTTATGAATAATTAAATATTGTACCGTAATTCCTTTAAGATACTCGGAGGCTATAATTTTTATGTAAAAATTTATTTCTTCTATAGCTTACCCGGCACGGGTAAAAATTTCGGCACTTCTTTAATTTGTTTTAATGCTACGTTTAATTCTGTAAAGTATCCATTAGATGTTGTTGAATGTAAATTCTCATTTCAGTACATGATTATTGCACTATGTGCATAATTTTTTATTTGAAATGTAGATAACATTGTTTTAGCAGTGTTCTTAAATCTTGTAATATTTTAAAATTCATTATCTTATTACTAAATTGTTGTTTCACTTTATTTAGGTGGCGCTTATGTTTAGAGGATGTAAAAGTGAAGATGTGCCGCCCCATGTTTACGCGATGGCGCAAGCAGCCTATAGAGGAATGTTAGCAACTCGAAGAGATCATTCATTAGTTTTTCTAGGTCGTAGTGGATCAGGAAAAACTACGAACTTCAAACATGCTCTTCATTACCTGGTGCTAGCTGCAGGCACAGTTAACAAAGTAAGTGAAAATCTTAGAATTTTGCTCTAACATTAATTTCTTCACAAACTATACCGAGGACTTATTAGGTCTATATAATTTTTAGTGTTTATAATAATTCTGTACTGTGAATTATTTGATTCTATACGTTAATATTTATAATAACTGCAAACTATATTTTTATAGAATTTAATTCATATTAATTATTTGATTTTTAAAGATCCTGACCATTGAGAAACTCAATGCCGTCTTCACTGTGCTAGAAGCATTTGGAAATTGCAGAACATACATGAATTCTAATGCAACGCGTTTTACGCAACTTTTTAGTCTAGATTTCGACCAATCGGGGCAAATTGCGTCCGCCTCTTTGCAGGTAATTTAATGCATCTGTTTGTGTTATTATTAATTATGTTTGTAGTTAATATTACAATATACTTCTAAGATATTTTATAATTGTAAATATTCTGTGAATGAAATATAATATTTTATATTCCGCATCTGTAAAATATTTTTTTCTGTTATATATAATATGATTAAAAAATTGAATATTAAATCTCAATGAAATAAAAGAGACAATCAAATTATTATTTTGTAAATTATACCGGATGTTTCATTATAGGAAAGACATATTTAAAATCATGTACTCCTGTACAAATTTTTATGTTACAAAATCTATAAGAACGAAGAATTGTACAAGGATCGCTTATAAAATATGTTAGATTAAAATTTATATCGAACGGTGTTACCTAGAAAATTATGCTTATAGTTATACTTAAGTTTAATTTCAAATTATACTTCATTTTAATAGATTATTCTTCTGAGTTGTTTGAACATGCTACATTATATTGGACTATTTTAATTTAAACGCTCTAACTTTGCGTTTCTTTGTGTTCATAAGGTGCTACTACTAGAGAAGTCAAGGATAGGTAAAAGAGCAAATGGAGATCCAACCTTCCATGCTATTTACCGCTTGCTGGCAGGCGCTGAAGGTGCTTTAAGAAAGGAATTGCATCTTACAAATTTAGTCGCGGAAAATAATTCATTCATCACGCCTCTTCAGAAGCATGAAGATAAACAACGCGCCATGGTTGAATTCAATCGAATTGTGGCGGCCTTTAGGACTCTTGGTATCTCGGAAGCCGATGAGAAAGCTATTTGGCTGGTACTCACTGGTATATATCACCTGAGTTGCGCGGGTGCTGTCAAAGTTGGTACTAGTTCTCAAAGTCGGTGGCAGTTTGCAAGAGTAGAGTGTGCAGAGAAAGCAGCCACATTACTGGGTACCACGGTCGAGGAATTGAGTAGAATAGTGTTCTCTTGTAACGGAGGTGGTGGTACGCCGAGTACTCCAAGGCCGACATTGAGGACACCCAGTCCTACAGAACAAAGCAAGGACATAACAGGCCTCGACGCTCTCGAAGGGTTACTCATTGGACTTTATTCTGAAGTATTCCATTGCATCGCGGCCCTTATTAATAAGTACGAGCATATTTACAGTACTTTCCTCATTATAATTGTGCTACTTACTCGTTCATTTATGGCGATTTATAGAAACCAATCGATTCTATTTTATGGATTTTTCCTCATCGATTCGATTTTGGCTTGTCAATGAAAATAAAAAAGAATAATATTCTAATATTATAAATATTTACACTTTAACGTTTGATAATCAAACGAAAGAGAATGAAAGAAACTCCACTGACATAATGCAACTATAATGGGGAAATGTTGTATGTTGAGAACAGCAAACACAGTAATGTTAACAATAATATTGCGTTTTGTTAATTACCAGATCCATATCATCGTCTGTACATACGGTAGCATCTTTATTGCTCTGCGATTCGCCAGGCTTTCAGAATCCTGCTACATGTGGACGACAAACTGGAGCTTGCTTCGAAGACCTTTGTCATAATTATTTGCAAGAACGTTTGCAATTGTTGTTTCATCACACAGCATTAGTGGCTCCGAGAGACAGGTGCTTAATTTCATGATATAAACTCACTTAACACTTTCGCGACTAGATAGTATTTCTAGGGTGCATCTAAATCGGGGAGCCACATCTCACATTTAAAACCTGAATGATCGTTGATCATCAACGGTTTATAATTTGAAAATACAGTTAAATGAGTTTGTCATCCTTCAGTTGTAACTATTAAAATCATACAGATGCGGCATTGCATTGACGACTCTCAGTTTTAGATTCGGCACGTTATCGTATTATGACACCAACTACGTATTTTAAATTTAATAATATACAATAATACGTTATCGACCAGGAAATTATTCATTACTATACTGTTCATTATTGGGCTATTCATGACTCATGACTCACACTGGAATTTAGATACATCCAAGAAGGAATCGACGTAGATTACGAAGATGACTGTGATGAAAACGGTATCGGGTCGCCACAAGCTTTGATTTCACTACTAGATCGTGGAAGTTCACAAGGTGCAACAATGCTGCGAACTAGTCAAAATGATCTTAGCGGAAGTAGACAGATGGAACGAAAAGGGCTTTTATGGTTACTGGATGAAGAAGCAGTATGTCCTGGTGGTAGCGACGAGACCTTCTTGGATCGATTATTTTCTCATTATGGAGATCGAGGTACCTTCATATCTGTAATGCCACTTTCTAAATATATCCAGTACTAAAGTTTACATTTACTTCTCCAATGTTTCTCTTTTAACAGATCATCAAATGTTATTAAGGAAAGCACCCGGTAACAATCAATTTATTTTGCAACATTTATTGGGTACTAATCCTGTGCTTTATACGACTACCGGTTGGCTTAAAGCTACGAGAGAAAATCCGGTTACTAAAAGTGCCATTACAATTCTTCAAGAAAGCACAAGGTATCTTTAGATTTCTTATACAAACAATGTGTGATTCTATTTTTCTAAACTTCCATATAAAACACCGTTGTTTCGATTCCTAATGTTGTGTTTTGTTTAATATCAGAGAAGATGTTAACATGCTGTTTGTGAGTGCGCGGGGAGCTGGAGTTTCTGGAACTTTATGCAGTTCAATGCCTGGATTAGAAGGTTCACAGTCTTTAAGAAGAGCTTCGAGTATTAGACGAACATTTACTGCCGTGAAAAGAAAAAATGTTTGTTTGCAAGTGAAATTCACTGTAGTAAGTATAAAAGTTACTATTACTGTTACTTATTAACAATAGTTAGCATTATTACCACGTTCATATTATATTATTGTGTCCACTCTGTGGAATCATCTGAGTTTAAAAAAACCCTAAGCATCAACTGGTAAACATGGTATTAATGTCTAAACTGTAACAAATATTTTGTCGTGCCATTGGTACAATAATTTAATTTTTGTTGAATGGACAAGATAGCTCCAAAATATTAAGGAACTTCAAATTTTACTAATCAAGTACTCACTTAGGGCAATTCATTGCACCCTATTTTCCGACATCTGAAATATCTTTTCAGCCAATTCAGAAATAAAAATAATTACAGATGAAAAATGATTCGTCTTTTAAGAATATACTTCTCATATATACATGATTGTGGTTGCAGTTGAGCGGAATATACTTAGTAATTTGGCGTGACTCTGGGTCACATCTAATTTCTGTTAGAACTTTATTTATAAATACTATCGGTAAATACACTTGTAATGCATATAACTTATATTTATATAGAATTTACGTGACCATGGTTAATATATGTATACTTTCTCATATCATATTCAATATTTGTTGTGTATGACGAAAACAAAATATAAAGTTTAACATTTTTAGGATGGACTAGTGGAAACATTGAGAAGAACGCGAGTCAAGTTCCTTCATTGTATATTACCACAGCACACTTCCGGTAGTACCGACAACAAAAGTTTATTGTCTGTAAAAACCAATCAGAATGAAGACAGTATAATCAACGTGCCTCTTTTACGTTCTCAGGTAAGCATTTTAAACCTTTTTTCATGAGTGGGCTATCAATTTTTTAATTGCCATTTAGGAAGTTATAGTAAAAGTTGGATAAAGACATGAAACAATCAGCAACGTAAATGCTACCCGACATTTATCTTATTCCTGAGATAAGGGTTATTTTGACCTATCAAGGCGCTCGACGGTAGAGAAGTGTAATTTAATCCAAAATTGATTGTTGATGAGACTAGTACAAAATTCAACCATTAAAATTTTTTATCTTTGACTTTTAATTAATTGAACTTTTGTTCAATTGAAATTTGTCCAAACTTGTCGCTTAAAATATTACTGATCCTACGCGATGTAATTTGAATTATATTTACTTGTTAAATAGATGAGAGAAATAAATTGTTATCATTTAGTAAATTAGTAAACGTGATTGAAATTATATCATGTTTGGTGTCACTTTAATCAGAAAGACTTCACAATTAAATTGGTAGAATTTTCATTCAAGGAAAATGAAAAATGAAGAAGTTTCATCGTTATATTAGTATTATCTTATTGATGTGTTTCTTTTGTCCATTCTGACTCCCGGGTTTGTTTTTTCACACACTTTTTTTCTATATTCGTCAAACTCGATCGCTGAGCACGGCCTATGTTTACATTTCTGATTTTCAAGCATTTATCCAACATTTACCGTATTCGTATCTGATGACATTTTTATTTTATAATTTGTCGAATGTGAATGTTTTAATATAATTTATTTAAAGTGTATTATTTCTTATATAGTTACGAGGAAGTCAAATAATTGATGCTGTTCGGTTACATAAAGTCGGATTTCCAAAACACATGGCATTAGGCGAATTTAGAAGACGGTTCAGATTATTGTCGAGTGAATGTAATGCACGGCCTGGTAGTCCTGTAGGTGATGAACGACGTACTGTGGAAGATATGTTACTGACTGTTGACATTGACCCAGCTTCATACCGTGTTGGACAAAGTCAAGTAAGTCAATATTTAAAATATTCACTTTTTTTAAATGAATTTGTTTTTATTTTTAAGTATAATACATATTAAGTACATTAATAAATTTTATTGTTGTTTGTATACATTCTGAATTATTTATTTATTAATACATTTAACCACTTGCACTAAAAATTTATTATCAAATGCGTGACAAATCCGTTTAAAGCAATTTACAGCAAGTTGACACTTAAAATAAATAAAAAATGTAAAATGTTTTAGTCCTTACTTATTGTAAGCCTGTAATAAGGTCACCTTTGGACAGCAGAATTAAACGATGTGTTATAAGTGATAATGTGATAACGTTTGAGAAAGTTAATAATTGTTATACGTAGCACGACATTCCAGTGCAAGAAGTTAATGAATGAAATTTTAATTACATGATAATATTAACTTATAAAACAGTTAGCATTGACTGGGAAAGGAAATGTGAGTGCTATTAAAGAAATACAATACGAAAAAACGAATAATGAATACACATAAATAGAAGAAAGAACAAAATAATGACCTAGAATGAACTATCAATAATTCTATTAAAACCTAAATTATTCGACATATTTTCATTCTTTCGTATTTGTGAAATAGAATTATTATTTAATAAATATATTCTGAAATTCAAGTTACTAGGATACGCTGTTACATGCAGGTGTAGAAGTAACATTAAATGGATCATTATCTACTCTAATTATTTGTACATTTTTAACAATTGAAGTAAATTCCAAGTATCTTAGTACTTAATCAAATTCCTAATAATAGTGATTTTTGTTATTATTATCATTTTTATTCGTTATTATTTTTTAACAACTTCAGTATCTATCACATGTTATTTAATATTGATAATAAATTTGCCATTTGCAACATTATGGCCACTTCTCCTCTTTGATGATATTGTCAATTATGCCGTAATTATACGATGGGAATATTGCATTACAATTAAGTTCGTGTCATTCGGTTAGTTGCTTCAAAAATTTACTGTATTTCTAGGATATTCAAGTATGCCCCGTACTTTGAAAAAAAAAATGTAATTTATATTTAGTATAGATTTATATATTTCTTTAATTTCTCTCGAATTTTTTAAAGTTTTCAATACAAGATATAAATTCCAGTTTAACTATTTCCTTTACATTAATTTCTTGTTTTATAATATCGTATCAAACTCGTATTGATAATTTTAAATTAAATTTCATAAATATTCTGTTACATTTATATTATATCTATAATATTTATATTATAGGAAATTAGTTTTGTAATAAAATAGATTAATTCTTTTATCTGTTAGGAAGTTATTAAGCATAAAGTAACACTTTTGAGCTTAAATAAGGGAAAGTCTATAAATCATGGAGTTAAAATATTTTATAAATATTTTAATTTTATGTTTTGCATCATCATCGGAAATAATTGGTAGAGGTCGAAAAATATTGTTAGATTGAAATTTACAATAACTAGGAATACACTCAAGAATAGGGTAACCAATAATTTTGTTGGAAATGCTTACGAGGACAGTTGCAAACTCAATACGTATTCTGTTGTAATCTGTGTACATATAATTTTAAATGCATATACGGGTAAGTAAGCTGGAGAATGTCAAACAACTTTCTCTTGGAAGTATTTCAGTCACGTCGTTGTCAATAGCAGGTGGTATATCGTAAACAAGTGGGAATACTATACTTGAATAAATTTTTATTTAAGATTATAAGCTTTGTTTAGTCTTTCAAATTTATTGACTTTGATATAACTTTTACCACAGAAATTGATAGAATTCTGGAGATTATGATTTTCTATAAAATCGCAAATCGGAAGTAAAAATTCAAAAATTCATACAGCATAAGTAAATTTGAATTCTGTTTAATTCTTACGACTGTTCATTAGTTGTTCATTTTATAATACTGGCTTAAACTCATTTGCAGACCGATTGCAATGACGTACTATATTATATTTATCATACATTATTTCGCATATAAATTAAAAAAAATTGAATAAATTTAGGCATAATGTTTTTTTCTCATAATACTGCAGTTTTATAGGAAAAAATTTCAGTACAAATATTTCGATTGCTGATGAACGTAGAATATAATACAACATTTCATTATATGAACTGTTGAAAGTACTTATATGTAACTTGATGAAGCGCAACAATGTGAAACAATGAAACCAAGTTCTAAGTTGTAGAATGCATAATTTAAAAAAATATGTATATCACATTTGTGGTGATTCTACGATTTTTTATGTCTTTTTTTGTTTTAAGAACAAATTTCTTAATACTATGCAAAACTCAATCGAATTTTATACGTATATGGACGTATCACTGTGTTAAGCCCAGTCATGTGAATATACATTATATTTCAATTTTGATTTTCAGTTCAATAGTCAATTTTACGAACATTCTGCATTTGACTCTTTGCAAGCATCAGTTTTTTTTTACATATTCATTTCTGATTAATACTCTTTTCTGTATAATCTTTTGTAAATAATTACGTAAAACTTTCAAGAGCAAACGAATATTTCGAGCCGAATTATGATATCAGCTTAATTATTTCTTACGAACAAGTTTATTGAAATCTAGAAATTTCTTATTTTAGCGCGTTTTGTTCCCGAGACGAACATTTTTACATCGAAATACGTACATAGACGCCTTACAATTTCGATGTAAAATTGAAATTGTATCCGCGGTCTGAATTGAAGCTAGAGTAAATTTTCAATTAGTACTGCAATGTCAGCTCAGATGTGCGAGACGCGTGCAACCGTTTGACCGTGAAAGTACAAACTGGCGAGTATCGCTCGCAATAAGAGCGACACGCGGCCCGTGACTTTCTCGTGGCCTAAATAGAAATCATTGCACTCTTCACAGTCTCTCTGTGTTCGCAGAATTCAGTGTTCTCCTAAGGCTTTTTCGTTGCGAAAGTGTTTCATCCTGCCCACTTCTTTCTTTTTTCTTCTTCTTATTATTAATGCTTTACTTTGTAACCTCGGCCTAATTAACTTGATACCGCCTTTTGGACAACGAACATTCTCCAACTGAAAATTACTTATGCCTTTACGAACCACTACATAATAAGAATATCAATTATTTTCGGCTATTTTATATGAATTCCATCGCTGCGGGTATGGACTATTGAATTATTAGTTACTGATTCTGCTGATACTTTCCATAATGACAACAAATGTAAGATTGGTAGGAAAGTAAAAAAACTTCTATCCTTTTGTGATCAATCAATGTTTTTATCCATACGATGAAAACATCTTTCGCGTGTTGTTAAAGCGAAACTTATCTTTCAAGGATTGTACACGAGAATTCCTTCTTCTTACGGACAAATGTAATGAGTGAAACTCTAACGTCAGTATACTTCAAGTAACAGGTGCCTTAAGCTTTTATCTCCATTGTTTGATTTTCAACCCTTATTCTTTTCCAAGGTATACTGAAAGGTAGGAAGATTGTGAAAGTTTAACGTACATTTTTATCATAAGAAATTAAAAACGAGTAACGAATCAGCATATCAAAGAGCTAAGATTTTCGAAACATTAAAATACCATTGTTACAGAACTACAAATTTTATAAAAATGGCACCGAAGTTTTCGTATAAAAGAATACAATTCTTGTAGAAGTACTAATTTTTACTTATGTATATACAGGTAGCAAAGAAATGATAATGTATTATCTTCTTTCCGCATCAAACGCGAAGCTTTTCGATTCGCGGTTAACGTACGTTTTTCTGCTGTAAAAATGATTTTTATATGTTTCACGTGTTTCTTGTACTGTTTTTCATCTTCAACTTTCAACCGCCTTTGTGTTCTCAATTTTGGAACATTCTCTATTACTGATTGCATTGCATGTAGATACGTCTGTGTGAAGTTTTAATGATTAAGGGTGAAAGTTTGATGCCAAAAATTCAGTCTATTATTCAAAGTTAATTTATTGATATACCATTATACCTTCGACAGGTTTAGTACGTATAATATATAGCAGTTTGGTCGATCAATTTACTTTCTTGAAATTCGTTTGGTACTCTTCTTATTGATAAAATATTATTTTTCGTACAACTTTGTGGGCAGTGCATAAGAAATGTATAGTTGATATTGATGAAAGTGTCAACTATTAACATGTAGACTGTTATAAAAATCTTGAGCGTTTTTCATATCACTTATTCTATCATATATACATCACTTATTTTCCCGTAGCAGAGATAAATAAAAATAAATATTAATTATCCGGTATTACGATTCTTGCGTTACACTATAATCTAGTTACTTACGGCGTTAAAAATTTTCATTCAACGTTGATCATTTTACATAACGAAAGTGTCTATCGTTAGTAACTACTGTGACAGTCAATACATTAATATACGTGTACATAACATGTGTATCGAAACGAATTATGCAAAGAAGGAAGAAGTTATTGCATGTGAAAAAACACATTCGAGCACCGAGAGCCTTAAAAAACTTTCCTTAAATGTATTTGCATCGATACGATGCTTCGTTTCTAAGGTAATTAGATTTGAAAATTATCAAATACGTGTTGTAGCTTTCATTTCCTTGTGACTCCTCTTTATAACCAGCACTTTCCATTTCATGTGCGATGTGATCTTATACTAGCACGATATGTGGTTGGAAAACACTTCTTAGAATAATCGTGGCAAATACTTCTACTAATGAAAGTACTGAATTCTATTGAAAATACAGATATAGGAAACTGAATTTCAAAACATTATTTGGTAAATAACTTATTTTCCAACTGTACAGTGGATAAACAATTTAGTATTT